TTCCCATCTCGCCGGCGACCTCTTAACAATGCAAATATGTCGCGATATTTGCTGGCGTTGCAAGTTCGGCCGGCTCCGCCGTAAGAATTATCGATCATCCACCCCGGTAAAGCACACACGAGTGTGCAGAAATCACGGTGAAGATATGGTGAAAAATCTAGGGCGTCTCGGATAAGAGACTATGTCATAACTATGAATCTTACAGGCGGGCAGACATTTCTGTAAAGCTACCTCCAACAAGAAGTAAGTAAAATTGATTTTACCCAGACCTCGTCCGCACGAGTAAAATCTCTGTACGGTCGTAACGCTCCTTACATTGCTGAATTAACCACAAGATATCGCAGCGTTTAATAGCTCCGGCGCACAGCTTTGTTAAATTTTTTATTTATTACCATTTTTCTGTCACTTCCTTGCCGCTCTCTCTTTCTCCCTCTGGCGCACCCTCCCGAAATACAGTAGTACGTGATTCGCGCGCTTTGAACAATGCCGATAGAGTTTTCACCGCGATATTTCTGCGCGTGCAAATGACACTCGACAAAGGGCACCCTGCAGCACGCAACGTCGCAGTCGATAATTGTTACATTTCGAACATGTTTTTGTTATTACGACACGTGCAGCTTAGCGCTGGCATTTTCGAGGGACGTAATTGCGTAGAATTGTGACTGCCCGGTCGATAAAGGAAATGCCGTAGGCGCGTAATGTGCGAAAAAAGCGGTGTCGTAGAGTTCTACGTTTAAATCACGGAGTGGTATTCGGTAGCTCACGAAGCGAGCGAGCAGGAGAAACAGAGACAGTTGTATAACCCCTGTCTTTAATTCTGTCATTCTATAGCTCATGCGAGCTGGAGTTCTAGCCTTTAATTTATATCCCCGCAGCTAAGAGAGAATACATTTGCCGCTCGCGTTCGCCGCGCGAATTTCAAAGATTCACGATCGTCGGCAGCTCAGCGCGATATTACCAACGTTTAGCGAAGTTCAGCAAATCCGACGGATTTTGATGCCGTGTGTATCGCCGGGGTTATCACTCGCCGCGTCCGAGACCTGGAGATATCGAGAACTCTTTAGTCGGCAACACTCCGGGGGGTCCGCTCTCTTAATCTTTAACGCGCGCGTCAAGAGAAGACGATTTAATCTCGCTGTGAACACGGCAGCGGATTAATAAACGAGCTGAAAGCGTCTATCTGCAGCACCGACACGGAAGCATGAAAACCTGAAGAGACTGCAACGTCTTTCCGAGCCCTGAACCCGTAAGACCGAGGGAGCTCCCTGAAAGTGTCGGCACTACGCCGCGTCTCGCCTCATCGTCCCGTATCCAGAAACGACGTAGCTGAAGTACTTGCGGAATCGCAGTACGTGTCCGAGAACTTCCCCGGCCCCCGTCCCAGTTCGTCGTCCGACCCTTTAAGTTCCCAAACTTGGTGGCGAAGCCTGGCCTATTATAGCGGCCAAGTTCCAGTCTGTACGGCCGTCCTCGCACACCAGCGCGATGTCCTTTAATATATACGCGTGCAACGTGTCGCCAGCTGTGTCGGTGCACCGCTCGGTCTGTGTTCGTACGCGTGTTCCAACCTCGCATCCTTCGAACACGAAGTCTGCTGCTGTCATAAGACGGCATTACAGACCGACGCAGCCCGAAAGATGATACGAGGGTGGACACTGTCGGCGAAATCGGGCGCTCCTTTGCAAACGCGAATCATTCGATACGGTTGCGCGGGCATAGCTTGTGACGTCGACGCGTTGAAAATTATTAACGCTGTTATTAACGGTGCATTCTATCTCTGTTCATATCCCGCCGTTTTTTATATTCAATTATTCGAACAAAAACAAAGGGAGATCAAGAGAGAGGCGAGGAGTTAAATTCATTAGACCACGGGCCAACGGAAGACACCGGGTATCGACTATTTATTCTCTTCTCAAAGCCCTGCGAGAACAATCTGGAGAGGTATTATCACGACAACACGCGTTTCCGACGCGAGAGACGAGAGAGCGAGCGAACAAGCGAGCGTTGCGGCAGCCGGCGATGCCGGGGCAAACGAACGTGCGCGAGCTAGAGAATCCAATCGAATCCTTTACTGCTTCTACCGGAAATACGGATAAGCGACCGAGTCGTGTCGTCGATCTCCTGTGATCACCGGGACGGAATCTCTAGACCGTCCTTGCCTGATTGACGGGGTAGAATATCTTTGCGCCTGAATCGCAGCGCCTTAATCGAATTCTTGGCGATGCTCGGTGAACTTGTTTAGCATCAGAAACTCCGTGGAAGACAATTGGCCAGAGTAAATGCCCGAGGTGCGAATCGCGTTAGAGTCTCTCTCTTTCTCGCCGAGCGAGCGAGGAGGGAACATGGCGAGAGAAGTAGAAAGGAGATAAGATTTCAATTGCCGGACCGTTATTAAAAAATTCCTTCGCCTACTGCCCTCTCTCTCTCTATCTCTCTCACTCTCACTCACTTCGCCCCGATGTCGCAAAGCGCGAGCAAAATATTATTTTTTTTTTAATTGGAAATACATTCCGTCCAATGGGAAATTCATTCTCGGCCGACTCCCCGCCGGACCGATATTGCGATGATAACGCAAATTCATGAGCGTAACGGAGCAGCAGCCCGCCAAACTGCGAAATTTAAGCGAGACTTAGCCCACTTTTCGCACGCGAGCGAGAGCTTCGATTCGGTTAACGACATCACCAGCCACCGACGATGTCGCTACATACCGAAGGCGAACGCGGTAAAATCAATATCGTGATAAATCAAAGAGAAAAATCTAACATATTCGCGAAACCTGATTACGAGTTCGCGCGCGCTCAAAGCTTTACCACCATGCCGGGAGGCGCCAGGTATAAATGGTAATCGTGAAAAATGCAGTTCAAGCCTTGCGCTATGCAATGACTTTGAGATAGTTTGAACTAGTTTGTAGCGACCGTCGTGACAACGTCGACGGAGTTTCCAGCAGTTAAACGAACGAATGTCATTGGGCTACTTGGGAAGAGAGATGTATGATTAAATCAATAGACCCCCGGCCGAGGTACGTCAAAGGGCGCCCGAGGTTTGTTCTTTAAATAACGCGGGGTGTTATCGGAGAACTGTCAGCGTAAAAATCCACCTTCAACGTGGGACTTTATCCCATTACGGAATGTACCGTTGATGTAAGTCTATTTCTTACAATTACGACTGATTTTTTCGATTCTTCCGCGGGGGAATGCGATCGCGGAATGGCACGGAATATACGTTCTTAAAAAATTAAAAATAGCGCCTCGTGAAATCCTGGTTTGATTACAGGCGAAGAAGAGGGATTCCGCAATATATATCAAGAGAGCTTGCGCTCGGCATTTAACATTGCCTTTTCCTTTTTGCCGCGCCAAGGAGCGCCTGCAATTGTGTCCGCGTGTCCGAGAAAAGTTGGAGCACGAACGATATAATAAGGTCAGAGGTTTCCGCCGCGTTACTTATATCGTCCAGACACAAGCGCCGGGGCTGCCTAAAGGTTTCATAAAAATAATTGGACGGTCGATGTAACGGGAGAAGACGTTCAAAGAAATGGCGCAACGAGTTTAGCCGGCGTAGTTTCTGATACGTTTCCGCAATATTCTGTATCAACCAAGTGATATCTCCGTACCATCGATCGAATTGAGAGAACTGTGGATATCGCTCGGTAACTTCTTATTCCGCCTGTAATCATTCACCGTGGATTTGCGGGAATATCGGTCGCGCGCGCGCGTGTCTGAATGTGTGTGTGTTGCGTTCGCGACTAAAAAACCATGAATTTTATCGCGGCACTGTGCAACCAATTTTATAATTTCGACGTTACGCACAATGTTGTTTTATGATTTTGACGTTACACACTCAATTAATTCCCCTGAGCGAAATAAAAATTAAACTGGGCCATTTTACCACGTTGAATCGCGAAACTACAAAACGGTTAAAAGCAAACGTTAATGCGAAAGACTGTTTATAATCGCCAGCGCTTTCAGCGTCCAGATTTAAAAGCAGAAGCGAGGTAATTATCTATAATAATTACCAACTACTGTCATGGGCAATTCCACGATAACGTCGATATGGTTGCGCGCATATGTAAATTAGTAGCCAATCTCTTTATAGTGAAACGGAAGGAAGATCGGATCCGATTCTCGTTAAACAGAGTTAACGATATCGCTCGAAAAAAAAGGGGAAGGCATGAAAAACGGATAGGCATCGTCGATGTCGGAAAGCGATCGTCCGCTTGTTTTTCATTGATTGGTCCTGGGAAAAATATATTTCGCCTCTGGTTCTCGTTGCGACGTTCTATCATGAGAGCCAGACGAAAATAAAATTGAAGTCTGTCGATGTACCGGTATAAAGTTCGGCTCTATCTGATATTCCGCAGAATAGGATGAATACACAGTATAGGAAATAGGCAAAAGTAATTTCAGTTTACACAAACTTTATAGAAATATGCAGAGATAGCTCATGAAAATATAAAACGGATCGATGATGTTCTCGCTGCGCGCGCTCGAAACTGTAATTTATCTACGAGAGATGGTTGCCCTCTCGGAGATTTGTTTCTAAATATTATTTCACAATTATTAAAAGCACAGAAATTTCTATCGGTTCGACTAATATTAAGAGCATTCGAATAAACTGGGAATTATTTTTGCAAAATCCCAGAAATCGAATGATTTCGCGCACGATGTCGGAATGTATCGACAAGGAGTCAAATGCGAATTGATCGACATCGACGAAATTGGCACAATTTGTTACGGCGATAATTTATATCTCACTTCCGTCGTACATATACACACACACACATATATATGTGTGTATGTAATATATACGCGGAAAATTCGTGTAGTTATCCATCGAGAGGGTCCATCGCTGCGCGGGTCAGACGAGCAAAAGGTCCGACAAAAGCACGGGGAAATACAAGGGGGAATTCTAGTAACAACGAACGCGCGCAACCATGATCCCGTCGTTCAAACATAGCAAACTGCATCTCAACGGAATGCAAGAGGGGGCAAACACCGACATACCCGATTTCTCGTCGACGGTGGTACCGCTCCCAGCGACGTACGAGGCAGCCTTCGTTAGTCCGAGCAACAACACTACACTCCACATGTTCTCTCGTTATTCCGCGCAAATCCTCGTCACGAAAAATTACGCGCGACACGTGTGTCGCGGAGACACCACTTTTCTACCCAACGTTTCCCCGACCGATCTACGGACTCGAGAGCCGGCTCGTCTATGAGGGGGAGGCACGGTTAAGTCATCGTTTCATCGATACCACCGAGTCACTCGCGAGGTTACGCCACGATTATCAGCTGGGCCGGCTCCAACCCCCTCCCGTCCAACTTAGAAACATAAGAAGCGTTCTGCGCTCGCTATACCGAACTGACGATTATCACCACCGTGATCCGCGATATTTCCTCGGCGACAATATCAACTAGGTCGCGTGTCTTCTTTCTTTTTCGAGCGGGCGAAGGCGCGAGAAATGTGAAACGCGTCCACCGACGATGCACCCTTCCTTTTCCGAGCCACCTAAGATAACCACTACCCGTTGTGCCGTCGCTCTCGCGACCGCATCATCTCCCCCGTCGCGCGTTCGCTGAATCTCCACCGGCTGCAACGTCCGCCAGTCTACTGGCAATAAGCGTTTCAGTAGGCGAGCCCTGTTTTTCGTCTCTAATTAAACACTAATTAAAGCACCCGCGGTACCGTGCATTCTCGCCGCGCCGCACCCCCTGTTGTTTTTTTCCTTCCTTCCTTCCTTTCCTCTGTCCTTCCTCCCCCCGCCCGCCCGCCCGTCTCCCCTAGTCTTTTCACCACCGTTCGTCCGTTATTAAAGCGCGGTACGAGCACAAGTAATCTCCGAGGCGGTAGAAAATCTCTCGCACTTCCGCTCTATCCAAGCGCCACCACCGCCGATAACCCGCAATGTTCACCATGGTGGTGGCTGCAGTCTCTAGTGACCATGGTGCGATCCAAGGGACAGCTCTCCGCTTCGTTGTCGAGAGAACGAGGAGATGGGGAGGAAAATAGAGAAAGAGGGACCGTGGAGAACGTTCTCCAGCGCCCGAGACTCGCCCGAGGCGTTTGATTCTTCCGGACGCACTGAGGATTCCACACGTCGTGGACTCGCGACCGATCGGGTTGATACGAGTGCGTGCTTTCTGGCGAACGAATTTTTATCGAGGCGAAATTGCACCGCGGCGAGTTTTGTCGTTTGTGTAAGTATTATCACATTTGCGAAACGAAACTTTTTCTCGACGCGAACGCGTCTCTCACGATTGTCTCTTCGCTTCGGTGAACGATCGACTGGTGAACGGTTCCAGCTAATTGCAAGATCCACGGGATCCGTCACAGTTCCGTGCGCGATCAGTGTTAGAAGTACGCGAGGTGCATCGGATAAGAGCTGATCTCCTTGGTAGCTTATGAACTTGATTAATGAGAACGTTAGCGACCGCGAGATTCGACGGGATTAAAGACAACGGGGTTCACGTGGAAATTCCGTTCCGAACACAAGTTTGCCGATGGCGAGTGCGATCGCAATATGTGTAAAAAAGCAAAGGACCACGGAGATGTTCAATCACGCCGGGCCACCGCAGATTTCGGGTTTTCCTGGAATCGGTCCAAGTAACGACCGAGGGGACGCGAAGGCCTGCAATCACGTTGGGACAGCAATGGTCGCGAACCACCTGGAATCGATTCGGGGGGAAGATTGAGGGAACCGATGAATTCGATCACGTAGTCATCGTAGATTTTCTTCCCTTCTTCCTTTCTATCGATCCGAGATCGTCCGAGGCCGGCGAGTCAAGGGATCCTCCGCTGATTTTTACTCATGTCCTTGAGATTCGCCGTCCAGGCGCGAACATCAAAGGGTTACGAGCACATTTACACACGCCGCACCACCGACCAGGATCCCGTGTTTCCGATGGCGAAACTGACGGACAAATCGAACCTGCCCCTGATTATCGCCGCGTTCCACCCGACCGGTCGCTCCTATTTACGTTCGCAATTCCGCGGACGAACTTCGACATGTGCGAGCGTCAGACCCGACGGAGTCCCGCGGCTGTCATCCGCGGCATCCTCGTGAACAGTTTCCCGACGCGTTCCGCGATTGCACGCGCGATCCCTGGGATCCTGCTATTTCCCCCCCCTTGCCGCGATTATCGCTCGATTGTTTGCAGGCGACACGATGAAGTTGCGCGAGCGACAACCACCCCTCGCGACGCACCACGACACGCCACTGGTACACGTGGTTCTCGACCGACGGCGGACGGCACACTGACGGAAAAGACGAGCAAACGGCGCCGCGACGGACGCGCAGCCTGCAAAGCCTCCCGAGGAGGTGGCGGTGGAGGTGGTGGTGGCGGAGGAAGAGCGGAGGGCGCGGGAGAAAGGGACTCGTGCACCACCACCAGCACCACCGCCGCCACCACCGCCGCCGCCGCCGCCACCATCGGGGGAGATACTACGGCAGAAAGGGATGTCTGTTTCTATATCTAAGGGGGGAGGGGAGGGGGAGGAGGGCGCATACTCGAATAATGCACGTCGCCAGAGTGGGTGGAGGAGGTGAAAGGGATGCCCGGCTAGACACACACGCGTGCTCTTTGGCACCCCGTCGTGCATCCAACCCTCCTATCCTCCAAGCCCGCGAAATAGAACGAGATGCGAGAGCGAAGTGGCCGACAGCGTCGATAAATGTTTACCGGGGTCCGCCGGAAGCCTTGCCAACAAATATTTTCTTGCTGAGTAATGAGATGAAGAACCGGCTAGCGTCAGACGCAGGATACGCGTGCGGGACGTGTTGCGTGTGTGTTTGTATACGCGCGCACGTCCGATCAATTCGTTATTTACGAGAGGGCATCGATCGGTGAGGTAAAACAAAAATAAAAAAAAATAAATACAAAGCACGCACGCACGCGCATGGCTATTCGTTAAATTCTGAGACACATCCCCGAACGCGGAGAGACGGATTTAATAGACAAATAATTACTATTAATGTGAATTTGTGTTTACTGATAATTGGCTGTGCTTATGTAATGCGGCGAACGTGTACCTCCGGGGGATACCGCGATAGAGCAGCTAACCTGTTCCTATATCTAAGGGAATACATACGACTATTGCATATTGCCGGACGCGAAAGAGAGACGCCAATAATGATTTACTAATTACGTGTATCCGGCGTAATTAAGGGGAGTACAGGGGGTAAAAATAAAGGAAGAAAAACGAGAATAAACGCGCGCGCCGAACACGAGGAAGGACGAGATAGCACTTGATTATTTATCGCGCGAAGTGGCACGCACGGATACGATGCAAAAATAAATGGTTTAAATTACAGTTGTAAAATAACGACCAACGTAAATTAGGCGGCCCGCTGAAACTGTTACGATACCCATGTAATTAGCCGCGCCGTAATATTTGCATATTACTCGAAACTTCTGCGCCGGGATACGATGTGCGTACGTTACTACTGCGCGATACAAAAGGTCAAATGCAGCGGGAGTATCTGGCACCGATATACGCGTAATATTTCGATAAAATACCAAGGTGCATAAATGCGGCAACAAATCACTTATTTGCCGTATATTGAGCCCGGAATAATTATGTCGTAAATAGCGCGAGATAGTTAATCTTGCGGCCCGAGGATCTGTACATTTCGTTTTCATACTAATAAAACAAAGGCTCCCCACAGACTTTCCTTCCTTCGTTTATTCAACAGATCGAGCTTACCTCGAACCAATTTAATCTCTATTTGTCGAAGGTATTGGCCAAATATTTATTTTACCTCGCCCTTTTGTGACTGGAAAAATAAATCGTTCAAACGGCAGTTAATAAGATAATTTTTTATCGCGCCTCACGAATTGATCGCGGCGTTTTTCTGCCGCAAAATTCGAGCCTCAAACGCACCGAACAAGGAGACTCGACTTACAACGTCCCAACCTACGATGCATGTTTTAAACAGCGAGCTTATATCGCGCGAGTAATGTCGCAATAATAATTGATCGACGATAACCAACGCGAGCATCTCGCCGTTATTCGTCATGTTTCGAAACATCATCCGGCGACCTCGAGAAATCGCTCGCGCTGAAGAGTACATTCTCGAGCACACCCGGACGTCGAGTAATAATTTAAATCGATTCGTAAGATCGCGGCCAATTTTCGGCGTGGGCGTTAAATCCGACGCGCGAAGAGCCCGGCCATTCGCTCGGCTCGAAGGGTGGCTCTTGATAGTCGGGTTAAGGTGCTTGCGCGTACTCGTCCGTCCGTGCACGAGTGCTTGCTTTCGGTTCAGTGTCGAAGACGGTTTATAGTGGTTTAAGAGGACTAGAAGTCAGCGGCGCGGCGAGGGGGAGTGGTTCGAACGGCGGGTCGGAGGGGGGAGGGAGTGAAAGGGCAAGAGGAGGAAGAGGAGGAACAGATCGAAATAGGGTGAGAGACCTCGAGGCGAAGAAGGCGGATGAGGAAGCAGATGCTACCCGACTGGTGTCACGGATCATGGTCATCTTGAAAGCTCCTGAAAGGCAGGAATGCCCGACGCGTCCTCTGAAAGCTATCTCTCCGAGGAGGGAATGACTCACTCTCTCGTTGGGGGTCGCGCGGACTCGCTCCCTTGCGCGCGCACACATGGATGTTTGGATGGATGGATGTGTGAATGCGCGAATGTGTGCGGCCGATGCTCGCGGATAGTGTGTAAATATGTAGAGGGGTCCCTCTCGAGAACGAAAAATGGCAGGCACTTTGCGGATGACGGTTTCATCCGGGGCTCGTTAACTCGTTTACTCGTGTCAACCTTCGTTTCCACGGTCTTTTTTGGTATCTCCTTTCATTGACACCTTTCGTTTTTTGTTATTGTTCCTCCCCTCCGTCTTCTTTTTTTTATGGCCCGTCAATCCGACTGCGCCGTCGAGGGATGTAGAAATTACGGAAACGGCGGATTTGAGGAAGCTATCGCATCGAGCCGCAATCAATTTGATTGATCTTTAATTTGTTTTCGGGGGTTTCCTACGCGTGACAAACGGACCGCGGAGACATCGAGCAAACGCTTCAACCGATGATCATCTGTGGAAGTTGGCAAATTATTGTCTCTACCAATTCGCAGATTACGCGAAAGAGAAAACCTCTCCGAGAATTGCCTGCACACTTCTAAATGTTTCGTCATACCACGATGCCGCTCTAGACTCCATGCTTGCATCGAAACTTTGTAGAACACACGGATAACAATCCTACTTCGTTATTCTCGCGTGCAATGTACAGGGTATTTCATGATTAGTGGGAACCACTTTCAAGACCACAATATGTAGGAAATGTTCAGAAAGCATATGAAACAAGGATGTCAGCGAATTTACGAGTACAAATATGTACTAAAATATTCCATAACAAGACATTTGCAAGCTTGTATTTAAGCGTACGATATCCAGTTTGAATATTTTTCATAAGAATAAGCGGCAGGTTTCCAAAAGACAAGACGGTTGCAATTCGCAAGTTAAACGAAAAAATCGACCGTAAGTTTCTGTGAACTTTTTCATTAATTTTCAAGTCTCGAATTCATCCCCAAAATAGATCTTGCTAATAATGAAACACTCTGTATATTTCCGTTATTTTCGCATAAATCACGTTTAATTACCACTGGACATGAGATTTCGTGACATCAAGAGAGGCACGAACACTGCAGCGGTTATCGTGCTCGCGTCGATCACCTTGTCGAGAGGCACGGCAGA